TTCTTATGTAACAACAGATTAATAATCATGGTTTTATAATACAACATTTGTCTGCAAAGTTTGTGTGCGCACATGTTTATGCATGAAAATGTTGATCCTGGATTGAAAGGAAACTCTTTTATTTTTTTTCTTAAAGGCAATCATCAACCATTTTAACCCCAAGATAGAGTCGTACGCTGCTGTGAACCACATCTCCCAGCTGTCAGAAGAGCAGGTAAAAACACACATGTCCGCCCTCTCACACACTGATGAGGAGTCACATGTAAATAAAAATGAACTTAAGAAACATCTCGAGGCCATTAAGGCGAAATCCTCAGAGACATCGCTCTTGTCATTTTTAAGAGTAAAACTTGATTAATTTTTAGTGCGTAATGGAGAACATGCTGTACTTTAAAGTGTTTGGAAAGAGGTTCACTGCGTTTTTATTTTGAAAGAGTGTGTTCATCTATGAAGTAGTTACGGCTGTGTGGCAGAGACAGATGACTCAAACATCACTTATTAAGATGAGACAAGGAGGGCATTTGTTAACACACCACACTGAACTCAAAACTCTGGCTGATTCATGACAGTCAGGTCAGGCAGGCGAGAGGACACTGTCAAGCCGTTTATACTGTGAATACGTCCAATTACACGTATCATTAATCTCAAGGGGAAAAAAACTGTCATCAGTGTCAGACTCTGTCCCTTCATCTGCCATCTTCAGTTTCCACAGCATCTTTCGTTATCAGGTCGTACTTCCAGAGAGTTCAAAACTTTCAGGAGTGAATGTTTGAAAACATCCTTAAGAGTGAAGCCCCTCCCCTTCCCCTTGGGGCGCTGGTGGCGCAGTGGTCGGTGTGCGCGCCCAAGTATGGAGGCTGTGGTCCTCCAAGCGGGCGGTCCAGGGTCGAATCCCACCCCTGTGGCTCCTTTCCCGCATGTCATTCCCCACTCTCTCTCTCTCTCTCTCTCTCTCTCTCTCTCTCTCTCTCTCTCTCTCTCTCTCTCTCTCTCTCTCTCTCTTTCCATTGCCCTATCTCCATTGGAGGCACGGAAAGCCCAAAAATAAATCTTAAAAAAAAGATTTTAACCAAAGCCCCCTTTAACCAAAACCAGTATCTTGAGTTGCCTGGAAAATATCAGGGGTTCTTGTGTGAAGGGGCTATGGACTTGATTCATTATGGAACAGGAAACCTTCAGAAACAATGAGTCTCCCTTCACAAAACGTGTTGCAGGAGGCTAAGTAGTGTGAGCTCCATTTAAAACTTCAACATTAATGTGGAACTGGTGAGGAGAGGAAAACAGCAGGAGGAATCTGTTTTTTTTAACAAGCTGATAAGAGAATGATGGATCTGGTCATTACACTCCCCAATTACCTCTCTGCTTTTATCAGTTAGATGTATTCACAAAAAGGAAGGAAGGCAGAAGTTAACGTTTGAGCTGAGTGGTTTTATATGATTTTCCACTGGTGATATAACACCATTACACACATCAGATAGAGTGACTTTGTTATAAACTAGTGTAAAGAAATGTTCTTCTGCAACATTAAAACATTTAAAGATTAATTAAAAAATCAAATTATTCATTTTGACCATTGAAAGGTAAAACTAAGAACTTCTAATCAGTATTAATTTAAGAAAGAGAAGTGTCTCAAGATTACATTTGTTAGGAATTGGTGTGATAAAAAAATAAACTATTTGATTGATCAACAAAGCTCGCTACAGAGCAAAGATAAGTGGAGATTCAAGATTTGTATTTGTCACATGCTCATACAGATGTGCAGTGAAATGTAGAGGCCGTTCAATGCCATGCAATAAACACTCAAAATATCTATTACATGTGTAAACAGTTAATGTAGAAATACAAGATAAGATTAAAATGAATATATAAATATACAAAATGTATCAAATTTAAACCATGTACAGTGTCCAGGGTGTCAAAGTGCAATGTACAGAGTATGAATGTGTGGTGTGTGTGTGCATCATGTTATGAGGTGATATGTATGTGTGATGGTGTGTTTGAGTACCTGTTTCTGCCTGGACAGAACAGAAGTTTGCTTTACTAGTTTTTACTGTGCAACATGTTTGCTTTCTGTGCTAATTCACTAGAAAAGGACATTTCAATTAGCTAATTGATTAAAAAAAATAAACTTGCAGTGACTCTGAATGTTGTGCAAACAAGAAGTGAACAGAAAATGAATACATTGGGAGTCTGGTGCTGAATTGATGACAACACTGTGTTTAGCAGCTAAGTTTTCAAACTCTTACAAGGGTAAATAAATGGCCTTTGCAGCTCTGCACACTACACCTTAGTATAAATATTTGCTATGGGAGGAGCATTGTACTGTGTTGGGATATGTATATACCTAAACAGTTCTGTTTGAAACATATTTCCTAGCCCTCATCACATCATATCTCAGGTTCTCCAGCTGGCTAAAACTTAAAGTAGTTTCTGTTCCTTTAGGAGACATCAGTGAACTAATTATAGAGCAGAACCACAAAAAAACAATAACCAGGATTTACCTAGTCAGCTGTTTCTATCGCTCTGCTTTCAATCAAATTATGATGATAAATTATGATGATGAACTGACTGGTTGTCAGGCTTTATTGCTCTGATCATGAACTTCAACGACCCCGTTTTGTGTCTGACTGGGGACCTTCAGTTCAACATCATTTTCCATCTCTCTCCCCTGCTTTTCTTTCCTCTGTCTGCTGTCATCAACTTCAAAATGACTCTATTCTTACGAATATTTTTTTTTGGGAGAAGCCATTTGTAAGAAAATGTACGTCATTGGTCTCAGAACACTTGAAATGTAGGTCAATTATGGAAAGAGGCAAGAGAGAAATGACTGAGATAGAAAAGAGCTTTCATCTGAACAAAAGACAAGTTCCATATTACCTCAGTCTGCACAAAATAATAAAATAATTAATAAATAAATAATAGCTGTGGAGACAGAAGTAAAAGACTCAAGATATTGGTACACTGCTGATGAGTCAAACCATTATAATAAGGCAGAATGGAGGTAGAAGAAGCAGGAAGAGATAATGCGCACATTCAGATCATCACTTCTTGAGACCACTCTGTCTTCTAACTCTTCTGCCTCCTCCTTTTCTTTTGGGTTTAAACTGAAGTGTGAATCATTTTATTTTCTTCCTTGTGTTTTTATCAAAATCCACTCAGTGGTGGTTCCATCACTTTCGACGACATGACATCCATGTAGATACATTTCCTGTACAGCATTTACCATAATTAGGGGTCTCACGATTTTACTCACAGGCACTGTTAGCCAGGAGGATTAAGGCCTCGGCCAACCTCAGCTCTACCTCTTCGTCTGTTACTAGATTGACTGAATATTTTGTGGAATCGGCCTGTCCTATATGGTATGGTAAAACACCTCATTAGAAACCAGTGGATGATGTCACTGTGAATACGTTCATGTTTTATACAGTTAATACTGTCTTCTTAGTCTGAGCAGCTCTATTTGGGGCTAATATTTTTTTTTACAACACATATCTTTAGTGAAAGAACTACAGCAAAGAGAAACTGTACACATAATACACCTATAGATAATTAGACTGACTATTATATCTCCTGCATTTAGTGTGCAACGCTTCTGATGGGGACCAATCAACACTCTGTGTGTCTGTGGCAACATGCGGCCGCAATAAAAACAGTTCAAATTGTTTTCCTTGCAAATCCAGTCACACCAGTAACCCTGAGCTTTCCATCTGCCTGAGGTGGTATCTTCATTCCCTGTAGTGACGTTACAAGATGAATGGCCTCCAGAAACACACATCATTAAATCAGGCTGCTGTTCTCTCTGTCACACACATCACAATGTTAGAGCCACAACACACTTCAGCACACCAGACTGCCGTCATACCATCGCTTCAAGATAAAATCATGTCTGCTTAGTGATGCAGAAAGTTGCCCATCTGAGTCCAGAGTGTGTGTATGTGTGTGGGCAAAATGCTGAACCAAACACTTAATGTGTGATAAAGGTTACTTTGCCTCTCATCCTCTGTTTTTCTTTCTGTCTTTCTTTGTTGTTGCTCGAAATCCCTTTCTCCCCTCTTACTTTCCCTTTTTTCCACTTAACCTGAATGTATATTTGTTGAGGTTCTCCTTCAGTCCTACCTCTGAATTTCCACAGAGAGAGGAAAATGATGGAGAGCTGTGATGGCGCGAGAGAAAAAGAAAGATGGGAGTTTTCATCAGGGTACCATCAGAGGTCGAAATAAAAACAACAGCAGCGAGCAGGGCTGCAGATTTATTAGAAGGAACATAAAGGGAAAATTATGTTTTCCTGCTTCACACCCTCAATTCATGAATTAAATTTCAGCTTTCCACTGGATTATTCCCAGAGTTTAAAGGAGAACATATAGGCTTTGTGCTCACATCTGTGTGTTTACCCAGATGAAAGCTGGACTCGTTTAAGGTGTGTACGTGAATGTGTGTGTTAATAAAGCTCCATGGCATGACAAAGTTCAGCTCATGCATCTCACAGTGAGTGTTTCATAATGTGTGGAGTGTTTTAGGGACATTAATGAAATAATGGAAAAGGTCTGCCTAGGGGCTTTTTCACAGATAAATGGGGGAACATTGAGGTTGGACGTGTGGAAAATCTCTGCATAATTAGCTCTGAATTCAGCTCACCTTATCTCAGCTAGACTTGACCTCAGGCCAGTGTGCACTTTAAACCACAGTACATTCACACACGTTCTCTATTTTCAATTTAATTAGTTGTTTTTATACTCTGACCTTAAAATTGATGAAGAGAGTCTTTTCTGAAGGACCTCTCACTACAAAAAGGTCCTTATTACCAAAGTCTGTTGTTTGAAACTGCTTCTTAAAGGTTTACTATACGACTTTCAGAGCAGATCAAAAAACAAATGCTCTCCTGCAAGCTCCCCGCTCCCCTCCTGTCTCCACACTAGTGGGGCGGCTGTGGCTCAGTTGGTAGAGTCGGTCAGTCGAAGGTCGGGGTTTCGATCCCCAGCTCCTGCAGATACATGTCCGATGTGTCTTTGGGCAAGACACTTGCCCAAAGACACAACCCCAAGTTGCTCCCGCTGCTTCGGTGGCAGCGTATGAATGGGATTAGTTACTTCTGATGGTCACTTCAAAAATGCTTTGAGGTGTCAGAAGACTACAAAAGCGCAATACAAGCTCAAGTCTATTTACCATTTACTGCCCCCAGTTAGAGACAGCAGCAAATAAGTGACACATCTAAAGACAAAATTCTGCGATCAATTTCAAGTAACAACATGCATCTCAAAGTTGATTCGGTTGTAGATGTTGGTCTTTTTAGTTTTCTCTTTGGTTTGGAAAGCTGGTTGGATCACAGCATCCCACCATCTTTTTAAATGACTAATCCCAGTTTTTATGCGGCCAGTTGACTCTAAAAGGAACCACTTAGCAGACGTTGCGATTCCACAACAGCTTTGTAACGAAGTTGCTTTGATTACGCCTTTGTTCTTAAACATTGCATCTGCAATGGCTTAATTTTGTTGTCCAAATGCATGATTTCACTTAAGGCATTGAAGAAGCTCAAGAAGCATGACTTGTAAACAAACAGCAGGAGCGCCACACAAACACATACTTTTATATGCACACACTCTGCCGGCTCTGGTGTTACATATTGCAACAGTCTCCCCCCTGCCTATTACGCCTCTTATACTACCAATAGGATCTTACAGTAATGCAAACCTTTCTCATGATCAGCCGGGGAAAAAAAATATTACACTGGAATATTGAACACTGATTAATATTTGACTGTTCAATGACTATTCATGTTCAGTGTTCACTGTATGACACATTAAGCTCTCTGTGTTATGCAGCTCTCCAGTAATGTACATTTTCTGTTTCTCTCACCCTGTCAGGTGCTCGAGGTGGTTCGGACCAACTATGACACACTGACCCTCAAACTGCAGGATGGTTTGGACCAGTTTGAGAGATACTCGGAGCAGCCGAAAGAGTCTGCCTTCTTCAAGGAGCTAGTAAGAGAGAACTGAAAGAGGGCAAGGCATTGTGGGAGTTGAAGGTTTAATATTTAAACAATATAACCAGAGGAAGTGCAGTTGTGCTGAATATTAGTACGACTGTGATTCAGCCAAAGACACAAGGTAGTAGGTTGAGTGCTGAAAATAGTCTTGTACAAGGTTTAAACCTGTGAACAGCGTGTGTGTGTGTGTGTGTGTGTGCGCGTGTGTGTGTGCGTGTGCGTGTGTGTGTGTGTGTGTGTGTGTGTGTGTGTGTGTGTGTGTGTGTGTGTGTGTGTGTGTGTGTGTGTGTGTGTGTGTGTGTGTGTGTGTGTGTGTGTGTGTGTGTGTGTGTGTGTGTGTGTGTGTGTGTGTGTGTGTGTGTGTGTGTGTGTGTGTGTGTTATTGATCAATCAAGACAATAGTCTTCAGAATGACAGAAAAGCTGTGATACATTTAGTTAAAAGTCCCAGACCTTTTGTACTCTTCATTTATTTTTTATTAGATTTTTTGGGGGGCTTTTGAGCCTTTATTGGAGAGATATGACAGTGGATAGAGCAGCAAATCAGGGAGAGAGGGAGAAGGGAATGTCATGTGGGAAAAAAGCCACAGGTCGGATTGGAAACTGGGTGACCCGCTTGGAGTACTATAGTCTGTACATGGAGCGCGCACTAACCACTGCGCCACTAGTGCCCCAGACCTGTTGTCCTCTTTATAAGAACTCATAAAAAGGCCTCTTATCCTTAAACTTAAATAACAGTTTAAGGATAACAACTATTATATACGGTCTTCTAAGTCTCTTCTGACCTATCACTGCAGAGTGAAGGGTAGCAGGAGAGTGGTGACCATGATAGAGGCATAGCAACACATACCCCCTGTCTTCCAAATGGAACCACTTTTGTTACCAAAAGTAAAGATGGCTACCGCCAGTTGATCTGAACTTCAAAGCTGGAGTTATTATCTGCCATTTGACATGGCTACAACCACTTTTTTTATGTAGCCTACAGTCCATGAAAGAAACACAGGGGTTAAGTGGTAAAGTATGTGTGCTGTGCTAATGTTTTCATTACCGGTAAGTCCTGGTCTGACCCTGTCTGTGTCTTTTTCTCCCTCCAGGTTCGCTCCATCAGTCTGAATGTGAGGAAGAACGTCTCTCTTAACACACTGAGTCAGGACATCTTGCTCAAAGAGTTTTCAACCATCTCCTGAGACACACATTCACACACACACCAAGCCTTCTCCTTTCTTCAGATGGACATGGACAGTACTATTTCTGTGTGCGTATGAACATGTAAACAGACTTTGACACATACAATACAAACACCAAAAGTACAATCCCCCAGTTTTCTTCCAATGATTGCTTTTTGTCCCTCTGTCTCTTAATGAACATTGGAAACATCTCCAAACAGACGGACTTGCTGACGTGCTGGATGCACCTTAGAAAACGACCTGAAAATTCTTCAAACTAAATACCTTTGTGCTTGTTCGTATGTGTGTTTTAACTTTATGGAAGTGCCCGTGTTGCACTGGTTTGTCATGTGCAATCTTCAGTATTGGCTGGACTGTTAACTTACTCATAAAAGTTTAGACGTAGAGGTGAAGAATCATCAAGTATTTTTAAGGAAGATGTTCCCATAGCTCCTGCTGTCAAAGCGGACAGTTTATGATTTTCTCTCCAGTGATTATTAAGGAGATTTAGGCTTTCAGTGAAACATTATTTCCTCGCTAACAGCATCTGAACTGGTGACCCTGAGTATTTTTGAGTTTAAATGTTACTGTAAGAGCTCATAAATTGCAGCATTAACTCTGAATGCTTTCAGTGTGAATGTTAACCCAATTCTCTACATGTTCAAGAGAAATGTTAAAGTATTTTGTATTTACATGATTGTTAAAGGGTAGAATATTTTGAAAAGAAAGTTGAGAATGATCTGAAGTAATGAAATCATTATATAGTCATTGCAAATCTGCTTTCCTGAACAAAGCCATTACTGACATTCACTACAGTTCGTCACTCACAGAGAAAGAATTTGTGTGTGTGTGTGTGTGTGTGTGTGTGTGTGTGTGTGTGTGTGTGTGTGTGTGTGTGTGTGTGTGTGTGTGTGTGTGTGTGTGTGTGTGTGTGTGTGTGTGTGTGTGTGTGTGTGTGTGTGTGTGTGTGTGTGTGTGTGTGTGTGTGTGTGTGTGTGTGTGTGTGTGTGTGTGTGTGTGTGTGTGTTGATTCTTATTCTTAAAAGTGATGAATTCCTGTGTCTCTTGCACAAGAAGCCTGGTTAATGTTAAAAGAAAAATTGATACCTTCAGCTGTTTAATCTCACTCTGGGTCTCTCTCATTCAAAACTTTGGAAGTGGTTATTTTTGACTGGAAGCAGAACTGAATTATGCAATTTCTTTAAATGTAGGGACTAATTTCTTTCCCCTCTTACTCCTGTAGGTATATTTATGTTTGTTTTTTTAAATAAAGGTTTGTTTCCTAATACTAAACTAGTGCTTTCTCTATTGACTTTTCACTTAAAAGGATACTTCACTCCACTCATGTTTTCAATCTGCCCTGTGGGGTGGGGGAGATTCACTCCCAGAATCTAAACTCAACGTCTGCCATCTTGCTTGGATGCTATGCTAACAGGCTCTGTGGAGAAAGTTGAGAAGAACAAAAGTATGATAAAAGTATGTTTCAACTTCAAACTGATATGGATGAAGGGGGTTTTGAAGATCTTGTGCTCCATCGGTTGTTCGTGGCTATCTCTACGAGCTGCAATATAGCGACGAGGTCTTGTGCTGCCTTGGCTGCAGCACATGACCTGCCTGTCGGCGGCAGTGAGGATGAGGAGCCGGGGCCAACTCGAGCTGGGGCAGACTGGTGGTGTCGGTGCACTCAATGTTTGCCTAGGGACACAGACATAGAGTTCGTTTGTTGCCAGGAATTTTCAAGATGCCAATTCCTTCTGCAAGAAATCTCGGTATCAGGTGAAGAAATGGCCATATGTGCAGTAAATGTTTGTATTTATTTATTTATTTTGGGCTTTTCATGCCTTTAATGCAGAGAGAGGACAGTGGGTAGAGTCAGAAACCAGGGAGAGAGAGCGGGGAATGACATGCGGAAAGGGGCCACGGGTGGAAGTGAACCTGGGCCTACCGCTTGAGACGAGAGTCTCAACACATGGGACACGCGCCCTACCACTGCGCCACCACCGCACCCCAATGTCTGTATTTATTGCACATTTCTACTACGTATATGACCCAAATTTAATACAGATTCATGTTTCAACGGGTAAAGTATCCCTTTAAGAAACTTTTATTTTCACATCTAAATTAACTTTCTTTAATATGCTTTGTGTATGTATTAAGATTAAGATTTACTTTATTGATCCTGCAAGGGGAAATTCTGTTTTTACACTGTGTAAGTCATGCAACACACACATAGGATCCTGTTTGTGCATGTGTGTATATTTCAGCCTATGGACATGCACTAATGGAGAGATGTCAGAGTGACGGAACCGCTCCTGAGCTGGTGGTGGGTAGGGGATTTGGTGCCTTGCTCAAGGGCACCTTGGTAGTGCTCAGGAAGTGATCTGGCACCTCTCCAGCTACCAGACCAACTTCCATATTTGGTCTACACCAGGACTTGAGCCGGCGACCCTCCGGTTCCCATCCCAAGTCCCTACAGACTGAGCTACTACCGCCCCCCTAAGTATGCAAGCTCTCCAACAACAATCCACATCAGCACACACAAACACACACACACACAGACACACATTGTCCTCTGCTGACTGAGTCAGGATGTGATACATGGGGTGTCAGAGGGTGGCTTGATTTCTTATCCCACACTGCAGAAGTGAAATATGAGTTTTCATGCGCTGAATACTGTCCTTGATAACAAATGCTTTTTCCTGGGATCATTTCTTTATTTCTTGTCCCCTGTTGAGACCCGTATGAACTGTTGAATAAAACGTCAAGCGGCTTACACCCAATTGATGGAGTGTGTTTGAGTGAGTTTGCAAAGAGGATGGCTGCATGCTAAGCCTCAACCATTCTATTATATAATGTTTTAGCCCAACTATTTTTGTCAAAGAAAAATAAAACTCAAGTGTAAAACACAACTCAAGTATGCACATATTTACACCACCTTCAGAGAATTATAGATTGTTCTTTTAGCCAATTAGAATAGAAAATAATAACTGACTTAAGGAAGTGTTTATGCTTCTTTAAACTTAATTTAGGTGTTGATCAACACCTGAGGAAAATATCTAGAAATGGATCTCAGCGTAAATTCAAGCATTCATTCACATATTCTTCATTCAACTTGTCAATCCCTCTTTTCCACTCCCTCTGTTTCTTTACTTCAGACTTAACTTTGGTTAGGATGTCATACTTCTGAATGTTGATTATTTCTTTGATTTTGCCAAGTAACAGCCTGCTATTCTGTTTGACTATGACACTGATTGAATTAATCCATAGTATTGTAGCTTAGATGTTTGTTTAACCAAAGTTATACATCACCTTGCCTTGCTGGATTGTGCGCAACTTCTGTGCTTTATCTTGCTAGGAAAGCAAATAGATGAAACCAAGGACTTTCAACTAGGAGGTAGCCATCAAGTCCTATGTGAGTCCAACTGTCATTGGTTAGGCTGACATCATTTTTCTTACCAAACCATGATCTTTTCCTTAGCTAACACAGAAGTTTTGTTCATTGGTCTCGTTTATTCCTAAGCGTGAAAGCTTGTTGGCACCAGGCACTTAAGAGCAATTTTCCAGCAATGAGTCTTGGGAAATTCAAGAGACGCCTCCAAGTTGAAGAACATGTCCTTACCTTAAGACCTATATGTAATGCTGATGATTTGAGTTATGTAGCAAATGCTACAAGTTTTGAAGAAATACTACAATTGTGCTTTCACAAAGCTCACATACTGTAAGTTGCCAAATCCTCTGCTAAAATCCATCCTTTCATCTTGTGATGTCATACTTCAGAATGTTGGTTATACCTTTGATGTAACAGCCTGCTATTCTGTTTGACTATGACACTGATTGATTGAACATGAGAATTAATCCATAGTATTGTAGCTTAGGTGTTTGTTTAACCAAAGTTATACATCGCCCTGCCTTGCTGGATTGTGCATAACTTCTGTGCTTTATCTTACTAGGAAAGCAAATAGATCAAAGCAAGGACTTTCACAAAGCTCACATACTGTAACTTGCCAAATCCTCTGCTAAAATCCATCCTTTCATCTTGTGATGTCATACTTCAGAATGTTGGCTATATCGTTGATGTAACAGCCTGCTATTCTGTTTGACTAAGACACTGATTGAATTAACAGGAGAATTAATCCATAGTATTGTAGCTTAGGTGTTTGTTTAACCAAAGTTATACATCGCCCTGCCTTGCTGGATTGTGCATAACTTCTGTGCTTTATCTTACCAGGAAAGCAAATAGATCAAAGCAAGGACTTTCACAAAGCTCACATACTGTAACTTGCCAAATCCTCTGCTAAAATCCATCCTTTCATCTTGTGATGTCATACTTCAGAATGTTGGTTATATCTTGGATGTAACAGCCTGCTATTCTGTTTGACTAAGACACTGATTGAATTAACAGGAGAATTAATCCATAGTATTGTAGCTTAGGTGTTTGTTTAACCAAAGTTATACATCGCCCTGCCTTGCTGGATTGTGCATAACTTCTGTGCTTTATCTTACTAGGAAAGCAAATAGATCAAAGGAAGGACTTTCAACTAGGAGGTAGCCATCAAGTCCTATGTGAGTCCAACTATCATTGGTTAGGCTGACATCATTTTTTTTACCAAACCATGATCTTTTCCTTCGCTAACATAGAAGTTTTGTTCATTGGTCTCGTTTATTCCTAAGCGTGAGAGCTTGTTGGCACCAGGCACTTAAGAGCAATTTTCCAGCAATGAGTATTGGCAAATTCAAGAGAAGCCTCCAACTTGAAGAACATGTCCTTACCTTAAGACCTATATGTAATGCTGATGATTTGAGTTATGTAGCAAATGCTACAAGTTTTGAAGAAATACTAAAATTGTGCTTTCACAAAGCTCACATACTGTAACTTGCCAAATCCTCTGCTAAAATCCATCCTTTCATCTTGTGATGTCATACTTCAGGATGTTGGTTATGTCTTTGATGTAACAGCCTGCTATTCTGTTTGACTATGACACTGATTGAATTAACAGGAGAATTAATCCATAGTATTGTAGCTTAGGTGTTTGTTTAACCAAAGTTATACATCGCCCTGCCTTGCTGGATTGTGCATAACTTCTGTGCTTTATCTTACTAGGAAAGCAAATAGATCACACCAAGGACTTTCACAAAGCTCACAT